AAAGTAAAATGTCACCTTGTCATAGAAGTGCACCACTTTGTCAATATGGCTGAGTTCAGGGGCTCTGTCATTGATAATCATCACTACATTAGGCCAGTGTGCAGCAGGGCGCTCCTGTAACATAAATTACCTGAGCCTTAACTTTCAAACTGATAAACCATTAGATTTGCTGCTCGTCAACAGAGCCAACACGATCCTGACTGATGCCAGTCCTGAAAGCTTTTTCTTGGTCTGTGACAGACAGACAGGCAGTTTTACTATGTTTTTTTTCAGGGATTTCAGTAATGCAAAAATTTAACAATACATACCCCAGGGTACGAAAACACAGCTGGGTAACTGTCCAGACCCGTGGGGGATTCCACAATTTTTAGGGGGTGGTGATAGCCAGGCCCTCTGTACGGCTCCTCGAGACCACTGGTATCAAACACCGCAGATACATGGGATGCATCGGACTTCTTGTGGAATGTCACAATTCTGGAGATTATGAATAATTGTACTTCAGGTGTTAAAATGCATGCATGCATCTGCATGCACATACGCATGCACACACACTCACACATCAAAAGTAATCAGTAACATTTTACTGCAAAACATTCCTAAGTTTAAATATTTCTGTCTGATCTTACATATTATAAATTTACAGGTTTTCACTTATGTTAAACAAAACAGGAATGGTTAAAATACCTGGCATAGAAATCCACAGGAGTCTTGGCTATCAAAGCTTTCAGGTCCCCAGGAGGAGCCTGCTTACTCAAGGTTTCATAGAAATACAAGCTGAACTGCAAAAAAGATGTATGCATTACATCATTACATCACATGCATTTTCACCCAAAATTCCTTTTATCTCTTGAAAAGTTTGTGACCTTGAAATAAAGGCCAAAGTATATTTTTCCTCAATTCATCCAAAAAATATTAATTATGACCACTCTTTCAATTATGGTGGAAGATAAACAATTTCTTTCATACATATTAAATATTGATAAATAATAATAATAATAATAATAATAATAATAATAATAAACCTCAGCTGCAAGATTAGTATGCTAAGGCATGAAATAAATCTTCCAGCACCCAAGCTACTCACCTTAGCCACTAGAGCTGCCTTATATCTCACCAGCCACTGGTACAGAGCTGGCATACTGGGCTGACGGGAAAAACCCAGCTTTTTACCTTGCTACAAATAGTAAATTATTAAGCAATAACTTTCTGTCGGACAAAAAATGCTACTGAACAACTTAGTTCCTTTTAATTTCAAAGTTCAATTGCATATTTTTCCTGGTTGACAATTTGTTTAATTGTATAGCAAGGGTTCAAAATGTGAATACAATGAAGAAAAGTGATAAATTTTGAGGCGTAAAAAATAAATAAATACTAAATAATTAAATATGTAAATAAACAAGTAAGTAGAAAAGTTAATAATCAATAACTAATGAAAATTAATTGAAATAGACCTGAAGTGATGCATTAATGACAATTAACACAATAAACTAAAAGAAAATAGAAAAAAAATTATACATATAAAAAAATGTTTAAAAAGAAAGCATAAAATAAAACTGTCACCTCTCTGCTCTGTAAGGCAGGCATCCATGAGGCCAGCTTGCTGTGAGCATCGTGAAGATGGATTAGAGAGGACAGGAACTTTAACTGAGCCATGTCCATCTGGGCCAGCAACAGGTTATGAACAATGTCACACTCTAAACTGAAACAAATAATTTTTTCAACTTTTGGAATGGTTGATTTTTTTGTTACCTTGCTTTTTGTATGATTTTAGGTAAAATATTTAAAATGGCAAACAGAGGTATGCCCATTGGATCCCAGAAAATGTTAAATCTAATATTTTCCAAAGGCTGAAATTTTATCATGATCTGTGGTGTTGTTGACATATTCAAATATATTCCTTACAAATCTCTTTAAAAAATTGAACAACATTCTTACTCAGTACTGGACCTAAATAAATCCAGAAATCATTCCTCAAAGCACTTAATACTCATAAACTCAGATAAATGAAAGGTCTTTTGATCCACATAATAATCATTACATATATAAAACAGTAAAGTGTGATGAAAGCTTGCCTGAGTGACTCAATGGCTTAATCTCTTTGACCTCAATGATACTTTTATGTTTAAAAACTGAAAGTTCTTTGAACACCAACCTGAAGGCATTCTTCAAGGGACTAAGTATAGGATGATGAAAACTCTTCTGGTGAGCCTGGATGATCTCTGTGATCACGTTCTCCAGGTCCTCATAAGTGGTCTTCTGGCTGCCCATGGTGGCCAGCTGCTCATAACTGGACGATGGTCAAGGCATTGAATTATACTAATAATTAATAATAATATTATAGTATCACAGTCCAGTTGTTTTAGGTGGAAGAAAAAGGGGTCACCTGATGTTGACCAACATATACATATAGGCCTGTGTATGTGTAAAGTATCATCAACAGTTCTATAGTTGATAGCCAGCAATTTTAAAGGTCAATCAATCAAAAAGTGGACCTTTTAACGTAAAATCTTTGTGTACCTAGATCAAATTTTACCCAGAGTGGACCCTTTCCTGGCAAAAAGGGTGGTAGATAAAATTCTTATGGGTTATTAAATTGCTCTACAAATTTTTAAGTTATGGTAACTTTATCTGCTGCTCATAAATATAAATGGCCAATGAATTTGTAGTCTAAAACTGTTAATTAACCTAGCCATTCTGTCAACAAGGATACAAGTCCATCATTTTTGCTCTTGCTGTAAGAAACTGACACAGTTGCCCACAGAGGTGTCCCAGAATCCTCTCTGGTGTCCGTACCTTGCCAGGATAGTCGGAGGCACTAGCAGCATGCTCCTCGATCTTCTTCAGCTCTGACAGCAGTACACTGTAACTGCTGCGAAGATTCTGGAAGGAATGACATTCTATGAAAGGATTGACATTCATTGGAAAGGGCAGTTTTGCCCAGGCCAGTTAGGACAGTAAATCAAACTATTTTGTGTTATCACAGGAAAGGGATTCCTTTGAAATAATGTTGTTTGATGCATAATTTTGTCTTATTTTTAATCTTTGGTAGCTTCTGTTCATTTGCCAAACATAAACATGTGCAGTAATCATAAAATAACGGTTATTATCAAAATAATTATTATAAAGACAATTTGAAAGAGGCACATTTTTTACAAAAGGATTAATAAATCCTAATCAGTGTAATCAAGGAAATCTCAGTATAGCGGAAGGGTGATAAGTACATCTTTTCTGCCGAACCACTTCTGCCCCAAGAACATCAGTGACATATACATCTTCTCGCTGAAGGCCAGGTGACCCAGGGAGTTGAGGAGCAAACCCCAGGAGGAGCCAAATGCTGCATCATGGCTGTCACGCTCCTTCTCCTGGAAAGGAAATGATCATGATATTTCATGAAAATTCATGATTTCATGACAGTTTATGCAAGTGTTCTTCAATTTACCTATTTCTCTTTCTAATAGGCTGTATAACTGCCCCAAAGAGCTTTCAATGATACATGAATTTTTATTCATGCCATCTAAGCAATTTTGAAGTGGAAATGCTCATTTTAAGCTTCTATAAGTACTGATAACTAAAAAATTCATGAAAAAAAATGCTTTCTGGTATTTTTATACTGATCATACATGTGCCACCATAAACAAAAAATATTATCCAATTCTAAATCAGACATCATCCTGTCTGGCAACTTACTGACAATTCCTTTGCTTTATCAAAAGCAAATTGACTCAAGCACTGGAAGAAAGTCTCTAGGAATGCCTGCTCCTCTGGAACTGGGGGTAAAGCAGCAGCCATAGTCTAAATTGCACCTCAATCACAGGCCAAGTCAGCTAAGAGATCTGAAAATTAAAACAAATTTACAATGGCATGAGGCAAGCCACTGAGTGGAGTTTGTTCATTAAATGTTTTAAATTTTACTAGACATATTTCATTTATGAAAATTTTTACTTATAAAGGACACTTCGATTACCAATACTTTATGACCTGTTTGTGATGATTAACTTAGATCCAAGCTGTTATAACCCTGTTATTGTTGTTGAGAGAGTAGAAATTACTACAACAATTTGAACATATTACTACAAGACGTACCATTTAAGAACTACACTGTCTACAGTACATGCACTGCACTGTATAATATTCACTTGTCACCTCACACTTTATCCTGGTTCAGTGACATCATTAAAGAATTATATCTTCTCGTTCAAATGAACTTTTTCATCACACTGCTACGACTGCATAACGTCGCGGCAACAAAGAATTAGAAGAAACTACATGAACCCTGTTTACGTTCCAATAAACGAGGGATCAGTTAACTGCTCTCCATACACAGAAGAGCGGATCCAAGATAGGACAAGCAGCACATGCAGAGCAGTGTAGATAAAATTGTAAATTTGAAACTATTTCATCATTTAACCTCAACAATGTTTTATTCTATTTGAAAGGGTTTGTGGTGCTGTTGAAAAGTTAACTTTTTAATTTTTTATTCTTGCTTCCTTGAATAGAAAAAAAAAATTAATTTGTATTCAAGTATAATAATGATAAGATTAGACACATTTAAAGATTTTTATTGGATATTTTTGTCTACCATAAAATAATAAGAGAGAGAAAAAAGGTGACAATAAAAAAAAAAAAAACAGATTTGCATACATCTGATTCGTATCCAGCAGATCCAATATTCTAAAAAACAAGGAATTCATCAATTAATGCTTTTGCATTGTTTATTAATAAAATATCAATCAATATACTTAGTGATAATACAGCTACAAATCTTCTAAAAATGATAAAAAAATAAAGAAATAGTTAAATAAATAAAAAAATAAATGGAAAATTAAGAAAAAAAATTAATTTCATACTGCCTTATTATTCTTTAAGCAGTCACTTGGTAGAAATTAATGAGAATATTGATACTTGATGTAAAGTTAAGCACATTTCTATATTTACAGTTATCAAAAATATTATTTTCATGAACAATAATTACATTTTATTTAACATGAGAACATGTTTATTTAAAACCAAAATCAGCTAAAAAAAATGTGATTTCTTTTAAATAGGAATAACAATTCATCAAATTACTCATAATTTAAAACTGGTCAATGGAAGAGGGATTGAAAGAAAAAAAAAGACATGATTGGCACTGAACCATCTAGAAAACTATCAAGAGCTGTCTTCATAGGGCGGTAAACCAAAATCTTCAGGCTTGAACTCCTCCAGAGATTTCAGTATCAAGGTCACTTTATCCCTGAGCTGTGACTGGTCAGCTCTCTCATCTGGTATCCAAACACACTGCATTCCAGCAGCCACTGAGGCAAGAGCACCGTTGGTGGCATCCTCAAACACCAAAACCTGGCAGGACAATACACTAAATGATAGTTAAGCAAATACAAATTAAAAGCAAATATAATTTTGCTTTCTTTTCTACCCCAAGAATTGTACCAAATCAATTAAACATCAGCCTCTGGAACAATGACAATTTTTCATAAACACATAAACAAAAGCCGAAGGAAATTCTTTTCTTTTCTCAAACATAAAAAAATGTAACTAGTTAAGTCTGACCATGTTAAATATTTATTATTTTCACACATCACACAGAGCAGTTTTTACATTTAATAAATGGAACAGTCCACTTTCAGAGACTGGCAACCTATAGCCTCACTATTATGTAAGAGAGTAGCTCAACAAGGCCCAATAACTATCCTAAACATCAGGAAGTGAACTTGTGGAAACCCCTGTAGAGTATAACATGTAAAGACTGGTCAAAGTGGACTGGTCCAGTTAAGAAAACATCTG